TTTACGGAGGCTCCAGACAAAAAATTGGCCAAAACTTCCTACCGCATTTTTGTCTGACTGCATGTACTCGGTACGCTAATTTCGACAAGATGTAAAGAAAACGTAGTTTTGACAGAGAAAACAACCTTTAGGTCGACAGCAGGTGCTTCTTAACTCTTTGCAGTACAGATTTTCTGATTTCATTGGAGCGCTGTCGTGTCTTACTCGTCGCAGGACAGCAAGGGTTAATATTCCTCTATACCCGACAAAGGAGAAGCGGCAGATTTCCTCGGGAGAAAATCCTGAAAGGCGTCCACCACAGGTGCTTTCGCCTTAATATTCTTCCATGCCACAAAGGAATACAAGTGTTTCTTAAGCGCAGGCATTGTCGGATGAAAAATGTTCCGTGACTAAAAGAGTTTGGGAAACCGCTGCCCCGTTTACGACGAATTGCAGGAGCCAAGGGTACGCGTCTTACTCTCCCTATCCGTCGCATAAATTTTACCCCCGCGTAGTGGTTATTTCTCGGCAATCGGGGCGTAATTTTCTCGTCCCACTGCGACCAAGAGAAACTTCCAAACAACCCCGAATCCGAGGAGCTGGCGAGAGCCTCCTCGTCTTCTGACACAAAACGCGTACAATGACCGCGTGCTGCTCGTATTTTATCCGATCATTCGTGGGCGCGGGGCGATTTATTGCTCGGGGAACAGAGTTTTCTAGGCCTGGAGGGCCTAGAGCCGCTAGAGAAATAGGCTGGGGCACCGGGATCGTTTCGAAAAAGAGGGGAAACGATGAAGGAAAGAAGGGTGGAGGAGGGGGTTTGCTGGGTGGCAGGCCATCCGGGGCAATGCCAGCTGCGCTACCGTAACGTAACGAGGCCTAAACGCAGGCGCCTTCCACCAATAGGAACCAACTGTTCATTAGTCTGTTGGTACAGGCTGTTCCAAATTGTCTACGAAGGAAGACCGTGGCGAGGGTGTAGCGAGCGACCCCGAAGAGATTAGATCTCGCCACGCGGCGGAAACCTTCGATGTTCACCGAATCTATTCCTCGCGCAGGGTTCAGCTGGTACGAAGAAGACATTGGTGTCTCGTCTGCCAATGGTGGCTACCACGGATATCTAAATACAGTCCAGACAGTGATTCGAAACGAAAACTATAGTTGTGTAGTAGATAATTCTACTAACTCAAATTTACTGTTACCCTCGAACGTTTTCAAACGAAGAATGCAGGTTGAACAACTGAAAAAATGGACTTTGCGCTTTCCCACAACAGAAATCCTATCTAGATATACATAGAAATAAAAATAAAGTGTCTGGCTGTGATTTCGAAATAATGAATTTTTCAAAGCTCTTATATGATTTTTCTAAAGTATAATGTTCCATAGGGTTTAGAAAACGCTGGCACAGACCAACACTCGCCAGCGACTTCTTTCTCGGACAATGTCGGTAGTTTTCGTTTCGTGGAATCGGCTCGGTCGGATCAAGTGAAAAGTCTAAAGGCGTCGCTAATGGAAATCCTTCTAGAGGTTTCGTTTTATTTCTTCTCGTAAACTCTCGTCGTTTACGATGTTTGTTGTTCAAGTTCACACTCGTTTCCGTCTGCTCTCTTCTCGAGACGCTCGATTTCAAATATTGTCGAAGGTCTTCGCCATTCTTATCCTCGGATCGGCGTTTAAGAACAATTCTGGAATGCTTGTTGGCGATAAGGAGTTCCTGATCTCGAGGAAAATTTGAAAGAAAATTTATTACGATTTTCTTGGTCTATCATTCCTCCCGAGGAGGACTTCTGTGCAAAGCAGAGCGTCTCCGTTAAGTTTACCCCAAATTCGAAGAATAAATAGAAAAATAAACAGTATAGCGATTTATTTACGATTGCGATGAAATTTGTACGTAGATAAGCCTTTTTCTCATCTCTACCCGGAAACCCTCTAGCGACAGATGCGGGACGAAATTTCGGGAAGCTGGTATAGAAACCGCAGCTGCTGTGCTGGCAAGTAAGGGACCTCCTAAAACCTAACTTACCAACGGTCACGAAGCGCTGGTAATACGTATTCTAAGTTGCAATGCTGCAATGTGGAATATAAAAAATGTTTCTTTCTCGAGCTCTAGTTAAACGTAAACAAAATTTAAAAAAGAAACCGAAGATTTGATCAAAGGTAACTATATCAACTTTATAAATTTGGATTTAAATTTATCGTGGGCTCACGAAAATATCTCAAAGTTGCCAGTCGAAACGTAATAAATTTATTTTCTTACTTGCGGACCTTCCTACTTGTGAAAATTGCAAGACTTGCAACACTTTTGTGGGTCGAGTGTCCTCTATCGACAGGAGGCACTCTCCACGCGAAGAAAGGGACAAGAATAAATGACTTTCCATAGAGAAGGATGAAAATCGATTTTAGCGAGACGGGGATTCCGTCCTTAACTCTCGTTTTCAAAATCTTGCCGCAGAAAATGCATTCTGTTCATAATGCGAAACAGCCGCCAGGTCACAGATGCAGATCGCACTTTCGACTCGGCAGAAGTAAAATCGCATAATATACTGCGCGACAGCTGCGAGCCCAGGAGACTGTGCAGCAGCTTTCCAATTCATTTCCCGGTGCTTGGATTTTCCCAACTCCCTTTTCCTTTATTCGCAGGGGACCGAGAGGAAGCACAGAACGTATCACGCGCCGTTAAAGGGCAAGGACAGCACGACCACTAAAACGATGAACCGACGTTAACGAAATAAATGAACAAGGGAGGTATCCGCCGAATTATATTGAGTGTACTTGGTGGAATTAACAAGTGGAGGTTGGGATTGGAAATAAATAAAATATGAGCACACTGAAAATGAACAAGAAGACGATGCGAGGACGATGGCCAATTTCACCGTATGAGAAGGAAAAATTTATTTATATTTTTAAGAGAAATATTTATTTATATAACATGAACATTAACAGCACGGTTAAGAAATAAATAGGATAATAGCAGGAATGAAAATTTCGGTAATGTTTCTTCGAAATTTGGATTTTTTGTGCAAGCTAGAAGAGTGTATATAATATCCTGTGGCTAAATTTCCTTTCCATACGTTTCTAAGGACGCCCCCATTAAACGGTGGACAGGGGTAATCGAATAGTTCTAAGCTACCGGAGGGTCGGAATAGGCGTTCTAAAATTGTGAGGGGTATGTAGGGGAACACGAAAACCGGATGGCACACCGAAATGTAGTCGACTATATTCCGAAGCGTTCCTCCATTTCTGAACGTAATTTTTACCCGCTATGCGCTATTTTTCGCTTCATTTGCGTGCTAATCAACGAAAATAAAATAACTAAAAATTTCTAACGCTATGTTACTTTCTTTCAAGGACCACGAAACGCCTAAGATTTAAGCACGTATTGTCTTAAAAAAATGTTGGCTTCAGTTCTATAGATATATTTTCAGTAATTAAAAATAAGTATATTCGCTACTCAGTTGTACAGATAATTGTTCTGCAGTTCTGTTTCACTAACGTATGGTAACGAAATGCATTCAAACCGTTACATCGGCCCTGTTAATAATCTGATATGAACGTCGTTTCTCCAACCTAATCAAGCGTCAATTACGGACGGAGCAACGCATCCAGCTAATTAATCCTCATTTATTAGCCGCGTCTTACGTTGCCGCTAAAGCAAGGCAGGTGAATAGAAGCAACATGCACGCAGTTTCTTCCTTTTTGAACCTCTTACCCTGAGCACCCTGACCCTGGGCACGTAGCCAGCTGTCTCACTCCACCCCTTTGTGGGTACGGCACTGCTCTAACGTAAGAACGAATTTGTCTATCCCTGCGCACTGTGCAGCGGTACCGAAAGCCTGAAAATTCATCTACATAAAATCGCTCGACCTATTTCTCTGGGAATAAAATTTCATCACCACGAGCCACGCCATTCTAATCAAATGCTCGACGCTCTGCCACTACCAAAACCAAACGAACGAAATTATTCAGAAAAATGAAGTATGCGTTACATTTTTGTTACACATTTGTATATTTATATCTTTAATATTTTTCTCATATCTTTGTTATCTATTTTGAACGCAAACCAAATACACTTCCCTATTTTCATAAAGCGTAACATAGAAAATAATGTTTAAGGAGTCGCTATGATAACTCCTTTGAATAGAAAACTAGACTATAAGCAACTAATTAGAAAAAAGCTGTGCTCGTGTATGCTACGCACACTGTAAATGCAAATCCGTGTCAAAGATACGCATATTCGATTCATTCTCCAAGGCGCGTCCATTCCCAGCAGGGCTTAGCTAAAACTGCCCGATAGATTCGTGCAACATTCTCAATATGCATACCAACGGCAGGAGCAAAGAACTCGTTCACCGCGTGCTACCGTTCCTCTAAAACACCCGATAGATCCCTGCAGGGACCAGAGTTTAGAAAAAAGAATCTTTATGCGAATGTATGCATGAATTTCATTTTTAACATTCATTCTTTTTTCAATCTACATGAAATTTTACTGGACCCTCTGTCGTGCTAATTTTCATCGTAAGTTCCAATTTGCGACAAAATATTACCATCTCGAGTTATTACAATTTATTGCAAAGTTCCGAAACGAATTTTCTAAATATATACGTCTATATACCTTCCGAGCCATTGTTTTTGAATCGTAGCTTAACCAAAAAGGGGAAACTCAACCAAATAAAAGTATCTCGAAAATATCGTCAGTATAGACCAAGTTGCCCAACTGCTAACAACGATTCGCATACTCTGACAAAATCAAATTCAAGGGACCCAAGGTATCCAAAACGTTCGATAAACCACGGCTCTTCGCGCTACACTTATTCTGTAAATGCAAATCCGTAAGAGAGATACGCATCTTCGATTCGTTCGCCAAGGCGCGTCTATTCCCAGCGGGGCTTAGCAAAAACTGCCCGATAGATTCGTGCAACATTCTCAATATGCATACCAACGGCAGGAGCAAAGAACTCGTTCACCGCGTGCTACCGTTCGCCGAAAACACCCGGTAGATTTCTGCAGGGACCGAGCGCGCAACCGTGTAGAGAGAGAAGTAGAAACGGCGAATACGAAGGTAGAAGAGAGAAAGAGAGAGCGAGCCGCGCTCGCGACGCTCGGCGCCACACGGATGCAACGAGGCCGCCTACTTACACGCATGTCTGCGCGCGTGTTCAGTGCGAGCGTCGCAGCACGCAGACATGCGCACGGCCGGCTGCGAAAACCGGCGTGCAAAAATCCTCCAATCGGGAGCAGAGGCGGGAGTCGGTGGGGCAGCCACGTGGTGCTACGGCGACCAATCGACGTCGCGGCGCTCGCGAATTTCGAGTCGGTTTCCCGCTCAAGCGCCCCGGTGCTTCTAGTTTGCTAGAACAGGACGGACAACAAGAGGGAAGAAAATAAAAAAGAAACGAGCGAGAAAGTGCACACGCACGAACAAGGAGAGACAGGAAGGTTATACGTCGGGTAAAAAGGAGCGAAGAAGAAGGAGGAGGGAAAAAAAAAAAGAAGAGAGAAGAGTGACGAGTTTGCATCGCATTGCCGTGCCCTCTCCCTCCCTTGCACCACGAGGGCACGCGAAATAGCGAAGGAGCAAGAGAGAAAGGATGAAACTACCGGGTGATCAGAGAGAGAAGGAAAACCCGCCGAATGAGCGAGCCCCTCGGACGTCGTATCGTGGTCTAGCCAAAGAGAGGAGAGCCTGGTAGGAAGGTGCGTCGTAGTCGCAAGGAGAGGCGAGGAGAGAGCGAGAGAGCGAGAGAGAGTCCGGCTGAGTACACGGTGAATCGTCGAGAGAACGGTCAAACCGCGGCGTCCCTTAAACTTAAAAAAGTTGAAGAGTCGTTTCCGAGAAGACACACCGGTCGTGTTCGTCGTGTGATCCGTCCGAGATCGGTCGTCAGCAGTCATCCTCGTCGGTTTTAGTGTGATCGAGCTGGGTCCGAGGAACGTATATCCACTGCCACCGGAAGCACCGTCAGGTCTGCGTACTATCGTTGACCGAAGCGAGCGGGAAATAGAGAGCCGGGTTTCCGAAGGATAAGGAAGAAACGAAGTAACAAAAGACAGTAGCGGACAGAAACGTTTGAGAAGATCGTTCAAAGACGTCACGAAAATATACCTCCTGTGCCTATTTCGTTTTGGTGTGCAAGCCCGTGAAAATCACGCCGAGTATTACGCAATTACAATCGCATTCGCCCGGAGGACAACCAGATAGAACAGATAACAAAGTTGCAAAGGAGAAACCCTGACGAAACCGCACCGCTCTTCGTTTCCTCTTGCGCGATAGCGAGCAACAGAACACCGACGTCGTCGACTGCGCCGCGGTTACGTGTTTTTTTTTTTTTTTCTCGTCCTGCACAAAGGACACAGTTACGATCCTCGACGTGTCGAAGCGTGCGGTGTGTCGTCGTTGAGTTCGTCCTTACGGTCCCTGTCGGTGAATTCGGCCCCCCACCCTCCTTCCTCTTCACCCCTTGAGGTCTCGCAGTGCCCGAAACATTCGGTCGTCTTCCGTTTTCGCGACGTGATCGTCCTCGTTTCAACGAAACGGGCCATCGCCAACAGCAGCGGATCGTTCGGTCAGCCGCGTGCCATCCGAGTTGCAAATATTTCCTACCACGTGACCGAGACGTATCTCGGAAAAGCCGTCACCATAGCGTCCAAGAGCGAGCCAACCAGCATGTCGAAGCTCTACGTGGGCAACCTGCCGTCGGATTGTAACGAGAGTGCCCTCAGGCAACTCTTCCAGGATCACAATTTGTCGTGCACAACGATCCTGGTGAAACGTGGAGGCTACGCGTTCGTCGACTGCACCGATCAGTCCGTGGCGGATCGTGCAATCGACAAACTTAACGGTGAGTTTCCAATCAACAGATATTCCTATCGGTTAGAACGCTAATCTACCATTTCCTATCGGCTATTCCTTGGCCGATACGGACCAATCAGACATTCGCTGCTTTTTACTACGCTCTGTACATTGCTATGTTTACTGTATTATATTGCTATGTTTACTGCTGCTGTGCTGCTATCCACAGGGACCCGCTATCGGTTTCGATGACTGAACCACGGAGAACCTCCACACGGGACGGAGACACACGGATTTAGAAGGATTGATAATTTAGAACGCTTTTACCTGCTTCACGCAATTCGCGCGCACTCGAGAGACTCGTTCCGTACGAGTTTTTCTTTCATGGCTGCGTGCGGATTCGCAATGCTTTTTAGATGCTTTTCGAGGCTAGCTTGTAAGATGCTGCGAGTAGAAATATATACACATTTGCACGCTTGTACATATATATATGCTTTACATCATTTCTTGTATATAATTTCATTGATTTCCCTGTCTCGATCGAGAGATCGACATCCTGTATATATATCCTACCCTGTATGTATATAAACAAATCCACGCAATTACGTATATGTATTATAACCACGTCGTTATATGTTACAATGTTTTCTCCCGTTAACCTAAATGTGGACGAATGACAACGTCACGGTGTCATTCAGCGAGCAGATCGTCAATTACATTCCGGGATAAAAGGACGATCGCGACGTATCGTACCGGTGGTCATTCGATTCTCACGGTGGTTTCGATCGATCGTACGACGTTACTAGTAATCGCGAACGTAAACAACGAATACAGCAAAATATTAAGAATCACCGGTTGTCCGTTACGCTTTAGAAGAACCACTGAGTATGTCTGTTAGTTTGGGAGCCCCTGCTCGCGACCTCGAGAAATGCTTCCGCTGAAATATCTTCAATTTCAATTTCCATTCGTTCATCTCCGCCAGAATAAACGGTTATCTTTGAAAAATTTGATCGTATCGCGCGTTCGAATCTCTAAAGATAGCTTTGCATACTGTGCGATAAGAGTGGAATAAGATTTTCATTCAAACTAATGTTTCCGTTCGGATTCACTTCACGGCGGCGCAAAAGGCCGATTCTACGAATGCTCGTGTCGTGTGGAAAACTTATCCACGTGGTGAGAGAGGCGCACGCATCGGCAAGATGGCGAAGCCGGTTATGCCGGCAAGGTCACACGTGTGGGTTTCGCCTTTGAGATAAGTTTCTGATAATCGCTTGCGTCGGCCAATATAATCGCATTGTCGTCGATCGATATGATTGCAAGGGTTCCCTTCAAAAGGCAACACTAATTTGTGTAGAGAAAATAGAAAAGTTGCTGTAGAATCGTCCGTCTGATAAGAGGTTAGATTAAGCGATTACGCGAAATTAGATTCTTTTTTTTCTTTTATAAAATAGTAGCTTGAATCGTTTAAAATTACTACGAGAGAGGTTCCATCGAAACGAATCATAGCGACCGATACAAATATAGCGTCACGGACGGTAAGATAGGGCAAACTTTTATATTATATTATATCTCTGCCTAGACGCTCCTAAGGCACATCCTTAAATAATGTTCGTTAAAATTGAATCATCTGTCAGAAGAAACAGAATACAATTTCGTAGTTGACTTGACGTAACGGAATAGGTGACGGTGATTAATTAGTTAGCAAGCGAATGCATTAGTAAATAGAACGACCATTTTTCACGAACCGCGACTCGTTTCAAAGAACAGAGCTTAACCGTTCTAAAAACATCCAAACATTCCTAAAATTTTGCGTCGTTAGTCGCGTAGATCATGACCCTACGTATTCAATTGCGTCTTCGTCGCGTGAAATTAGATCGATACTCTACTATGGACGACTCTTGATCATCACGTTGGTCGATTCTCCCGCCCAAAAAACGTGGTCAAGGTCGCGTCTACACGCATGACGTATGGATCCCCCGCTTGCCTCCGCGTCGAGGTTAAAATTTACATCATGAAACACCGCCTTCATCTCTACTTGCCCGTCGAAATCGGTTAGTCACACTCGTCGTATACGACGGCCATGCTAATCGGGTAAATTCGTTCGTAAATTTTTCTGACGACTTCGTAAGTGGCGTACGCGCACTCGTCGACGAATTACTCTGCGCGTGTTTGTCGCCAATCGACACCTTCGATGTCCGCGCTTTCGATGCGATAAATTGTTGATCAAAGTGTCCAAGACACCGAAGGAAACAAGATTTTTCTGTTTTAGTAGGGGTTTTCAGTGAGAAACTACACAAACTGTGGAGGTGAGGTGTATATAGATGTTAGCTTGTACAGGACATCTGAAGTTTAATAAACTTTTGGTTAGATAAGAACTTACTCATTTCTGCTCGTTGGTATTCTTAAGAACGAGCAAATTGTCTTGCTGACACCGGATAACAAGGCCATTTGTGAATGTAATTGCAAAGCAATTCGGTTCGTGTAGAACGGCAGCAAGACAAATTGCTGTTACGTTCACGTACCTGCGAGAGATGCCAATCGATGCGTAATGCTGCTCGCGTGAAAGTGACAAGAGCGACACCTTTTTAACACCTTGAAAAAGAATAACTTTAGACTGTGTTTCGATATTTTTCTTTTTTGCTCTGAGCAGCTGCAGAGTAATTTGAACATTGTATTCAGCTCAATGATACAATCTGTCTTACTAAAAACAGTATAAAAATCAGATATCGATAGTTGAGACGTATATTAAATTATCCCATGTGAAAATGTTAGAATTCTGTTGGGATGCTTGAGGTACTGGACGGTGCGGAAGGTACGGTTGACAATTTTGCGTTCACACAAAATGTAGCAAAGAATACTGAGCAAGAGAGCGGTCGGTCGGTTTGCTTAGAAGCCGGGCTGCAAGAAAGAGGCGCGGTACGAATATTGGAGCGATTCATAGAGAATAGTTTCTCCCTCTATTTCGTTAGCAATACAGAAGGCTCAGTCGTTGCTCCTGCAGCAGGGGTACATATGTATGCGGGGCCGATCCTTGGATACAATGCCATGTGCGGAGAACGTTACCGCCGAGTACAGAACTAGTTTGGTGGGTTGTGTTACGTTTTAGACCAACTAAACTAAGGCTAGTCGCGGTTAGAATACACGGGTGTACAGCCATCGGCATTAATTCACCGGGGAATATCGCCTGTTCGCCGTGTAATGCTTCCATTTCGTATGAATTACGAAGACGTTAAACGGGCTATAAAATTATTGTTCTTCTTACGATCTTGTTCTTCGAAAATTACAGGACAACCGCAATGTTTTCATACATAAATCGACGCTCTGTCGACCGTTCTATAATTCAAACTTTGATTTTTATTTTGCGTGTAACAAAGAAAAAAATATTTATTCGCCATTCTTTATCCACTATTTCGATCCAGAATGTACCGTAATTTAACTCCGATCTTCTCCAACGCGAAGCCACGCGTGTCGTTCAACGTCGATCAGAACGGTCGAACGAAAAGGGAATGTGTACATTTTTAATCACTGTTTCGCAGTTGTCCGCGAGTCGGTCAGCTTGATTTGTCGCGTGCCTGGCCGTGGTCACCTGCCCTCGAAAAAAGTTACCTGTTAACAGTGCACCGGTAACCGACGATACCGATGTAACTTTACGATTCTGATTCCCTTCGGACGAACCTTGGGTCTGATAGCGTTATCGATCCAAATTAACGAAAAATGATTCTATATTTAATACACTCGATCTCATTACGATAAGGTAAAATCCTCTAGATCCTGTCACGCGTTATTACTACGGCTATCAGTTCCGACATCTCATCTTATCGATCTACGTCCCGTACCTAAGAATACGTGTCCGTATAGGAATTACTCGTGTTACATTGCCAAAGACCTCGATTTTTCAGTACTGTTGTTCGACACGACAGTGGTATGCGATGAACTCGGTATCAGGTATTAGTCTTAGGGAGGATAAGGGTGAACGAAGTTCTACTTGTTGCTCGAAAGTAGGATATAGCTGTGGTGCAGCTCGACTTAGCTCTTTAGAAAATGTTCTCTCTAACGTTGTCGAATGTTATCCAAGTCCTTTTAACGAATCTACAAAGTTCTCTGTAGCGTGTAAATACAGCTAATGCAGATTGAAAGAAACTAGAATTGTTTTACTCTTTCCGCTCGTTCCTTGTGACTCGAATAAACCTATTCCGTGCAAATTGAAAGTTCGGTCGGTTGGCTGGTCGGTTAAGAGCAACGATGGAAAGAACTCGGTTTTACGCCGACACAAATGTACAGTTTAAGCGCAAAAAGTGCTTGCGCGCCTGCAAGAAGGAAGGAAGTGCTATCTTTAGAGCGGCGAAAAGGGAGTGCGTGGTGTCCCTTTTCCCGTCTTCTTTTTCGTCTAAGCCATCCGCTTTCATTAACTGAACGCACGCTCTTGGGACCAGAAACGAGAGATAAAGAGAAAGACAGAGTTAGTTATTGTGAGATTCGAATGCAGTCAACAGGATCGAATAAACGAAGTGGAAAGTCCTTCCGTGCGAAACTTCTTCTTGCGACGAAGTCAAGCCAACCGAAAACATCGCAGGGTCCAAATAATCTTCATATATCGATATCCTTTATTATGAATATCGACACAGATCGACATCATTCAATTAGAGGCAAGAATAATGACTGTAATAGTTTCAGTCGCTGTATTAGAAACATACTAAAAATCTTGGAACGTAAAATGAAGTTTTTTGATAAGTAAATTATTAGGTATTCCAGAGCGTGGAGTGGTTAGATGTTCGTACTAAAGTCGTTTTAACGTACTAATGCTAAAACAAAGCTTCCATGAAAAATTACGGTAAGACCAGCCGCTATTTCGAGTCTTTCTATATTGGCCGCGTCAGCGATCCTCTATTTCCTCCTTGGCCTCCCACGCCGTGGGTCTTTTTCTCCGTCTAGTCTACATTGTCTTCGTCTCTCGTAGCCGCTGTTCACTCGAGGAACCTTTGAAGCCACGTGTTTGTTTTAGATACCAGGCCGTTGACTTGCAGTTCGAATAACAACGCTACCGCTACT